CCCCAACACCGACCACCTCCCCAGCACTCCCCGTCCCCTCCTCCCACTCCGAACACCGTCCACATCCTACCACCACGGACGACCACCCAACCCCCAACCACAAACAACCCCACTGTGTAGAGCGTTATGAATAAGCCCAAAATGAAGAGCGTTAAACCGCTCAGCAGGGGCTTTGGACTCACGGTACTGTACTCACGAAATACCGCTTTGTAGTAGTGCTGTATAATGCAGCACAATATCACCGCTTGGAGAAGATGGATATCCAGGGCGGGCGCGGGGGAAGGGGGAGGAGCGAGAACAGCAAGTGGAGGATTGAGGCAAGGACACGGAAATAAGATGGAGTACTTCGAAGTTTGACGCAAAAACGCATGATCGCACCGGCTCGCCTGGTGCGTTCCAACCTGGGTTATGTTTAACGTTCGATATTCACTGAGACTGTAAGGGCGTCAAAACCGATTCAACTCTCTATCGCCCATTTTCCCTCATTCTTGATGAAATCGAAGAAGGAAGGCGGTCGCCCGCTCATTACGCTCAGCTCCATCATCACCCCGATGATAGTCGTTCGTCATGCCAGCCAACACGTGCCTTACTGGTAGCTGGTATTGCTGTCTGTAGTAGGTCCCGTGTTACTAAAACAGCGGTAGCTTGATTTGTAGTACAAGAACAGCGATAGTTCGTCTTGTATTCCGAACAAATTCGACGTAACTCTGTCGATCTGAACCGCCCAGAGAAGAGAGTGAAAAGAGAGTTTTCCCGATAACCTGAGTACTTTAAGTCTAGTGCAAAAACGCACGATAGCGCCGGCAAACCTGGTGCATTCCAGCTTAGGTTTTTAACTGGCTCAATTGTGAGCATGACTTTGCTAGCGTAGTAATGGCTGAGTTAGAATGCTGCTCAAGGCAAATTCGTAATCTCATTGACACTGCACACATATATTTGATCCCGACGCAAACAATTAAGCCTGTAAGAGAAGAAACTTATGTGAGAGCAAAACTTGAATAGCGGCTGTCGTAATCATTGTGAGGAAAGGAATTTTCACTGATCCACTAATTATCGAAGGCAACTTTTTTACGCTGATTGAAAACGGGAAATGAATAAATAGCTGCTTCAGTAAGATGCTGGAACAGAATTGTTAATCGCGAGGGGGCCAGAAGCAGGACCAGGAGGCCTTAAAAACTCGCTCTCAGAAGCATATAATTACGCATTAGCGAAGTGAACGAATAAAGCAATAAAAGTATTATAAAAGTCCCGAAAAAAATGCATAAAATTAAACACAAGATGAAAAGAGTGATGAAATTTGGCAAACAGAACATTATCGTTTAAATTTGCTGAAACTTACCGTTACATTCCCATGTCAATTGAAGGTAATATCGCACGCATACATTTATGCTTTTGATCATTTGCATTTGTTGCAACAAAGTCTCTTCTTTAGTGCTCGAAAGCATAAAGCAAGTGTTACCCTTCCATACACTGTCTTCTTCGCTGAAGGCACTGTGCTTTTTTTGCCTCACGGCACATGCGTGAAGCTCACGTTTTATTTACACACTATTTCGAAGGCGCAGGTTCACAACGTCTATCGTCGCTTTTTTGCGCGTATTTGCATCTGCGGATCAAAAACGCATATTATGAAATTATCTCAGCACTTAAAATTGCTGTGCTGAAGACCAGAACTCACTTCTCCACTTCTGGTGCCAAAATCTCCTGGCCAAAATATCATCCTGCTACTCTTTGCTGGAGCATCCCGCCTAACTAGTGCCTTTCTTTAGATGAGTCCCTAGTTAGAGTAGCTGCATTCCGATGAATCTTTCGGAAATTATCCAGTGGGCCCTTAGCTAGAAGCTGTCACTCCTAGGTGAACTCTTGAGGCAGGGGCATCAAAAATCCACGTTACTTCGGACTGTAGCGGAACTTTGTGGACTTCTTCCCCGTATCTGTCAGGCCACTCGCGAATGACCTTTCAAGAGCGAAGGGGCAGCGTCAGCTCGTTGCCCAAAATGACCATATTTGATGAGTGCTTTAGAGCGTCATGAATAACGGCCCTACTGGCCGAAACTGCACCAGTTTCATGGCAAAATCAATTGGAAATTGATGCGCATTTGATGAAAAAGGCACTTTGGCCGAAATTTCTTTTTCGGACGAAACCGTCACCCCTCTCCAGCTGGCAAGCCGCATTCCCATTATTTTGAGGTACCGTTCAATTCTCGCGATTCTAATTTCCACCGTCGGTTGAGGAGCAAGTTTCAATTGGCGTTGAATTATAGTAGTGGCCAGTTGCTAATATTCGGCGTGGCCGGATTGGCCCGCGCCATGGAAAATTTGTGAAAATTCTTTGTAAAAAAAAAAAAATTCACTTCACAGTGAGTGGCGAGAGGGTGAACGACGCATGTGGAAAAGTGGGGGGAGGAAAAATCCGACCACAATTGTCAGCAGTCAAGGACTGCTCGTCAATTGACTATAGATTAACGCAAACTCTAAAGCATCGCGGATCTCTAAGCTCGTACCGGAAGGATCATGCCCGCCTCTTCAGTATTGCTGTGTTGAAGGCTATGACATACAGATGGAAAACATGGCCACCAGAGAAAGCTTTGGCCGAGAGCTCGACGGAGCGAAAGATGCTTGAAGTGTCTCTAACAATCAGACTCTTCGTCAGATGAGCGGTGTGCAGAATACTGTCATAGCATTCGAGAGCAAATATCAATGTGCAGGAAATGTTGCCCGCCTTGCCGTCAACTGGTGGGCAACGAGAGTGGTATTCAGTCAGTGGTATTTGCGACAAAGCAAACGACCACTCAGGTAACCCATGAAAATGAGGCCCATATACCTAGAACAAGCACTGGGTGTCACTGCACGCAGGGATTTGTTGTTCTGTTTTTGACCTGGGTCACCACAAGCCATTGCTGACCTTGTGCTGACCCTTGACGATCTCCCCAACTCCTCACGTCAACGTTATCGTATTAATTAATTAACTGAGTAGGTCAACATTAGGTCAACACCCAAGGGAGGAGGGGGACAATTGGTGGTATTCTTCCCAAACGGGAAGAAGCCCAATTGAACGATGGCTTCGTTATTCGTAATACATCAGTTGAAGCTGAGTGGTGTAACTCTCTCTCTCTCTGGTCTCCGTTAAATAAATAGAATGAAACATGCTAAATGTAATTAAATCAAATTGTTGATGGGAGAATGACCGAAAATTGCATGTGAGTGTGAGATGTTGAATGGGAGAGGTAAGAACTGGGTTTTTTTGAAGGAAATTGATGAGAACAGAGGTAATGATTAATCCGTAATTGTAGCGACTAATAGTGACCAATGGTAGAAGGACGCAAGAGGGGAAGAGGAAAGATAGTTATATAGGTGCCTATTTTGTGAAAAAAGTAAGGACATGTGTTGTGAGTAGGTGGAAAGGAATATGTAGATTCTGCTGTCTGTGTTTCATCCCTAAGCTACAAACACAGACAGTATGTGGTGTAGTATGGGGCGCAAGTCGCTTGGAGCTGCGTTGGATACCAACTGGAAGTGTGCAGCTCGAGACCGGAAGGCCTAGCATAACTACGCTCGTCGTGCGGGAGCATTCTAGTGACATCACTAACAGTGGAATCCTGCATTGATAATCCGAGTGGCCTTGGTGTACTTCGTATCAGTGACTGGTTAATTTTAGGATCCATATCAGGTGCCCCTGTGCTTATCTAATTAAAATGTGAGCTAATTAAGCTCGTGCAAGTCCCGACGATAGTGGCGTTGCAGTGGACTGATGGAGGGACAGACTGTGAGATTCCTGCCAAAAATGTGAGGGAGAGGAACAAGGGAAGGAGAAGGGGAAGGGAAAAACTTGAGTAAAAGTGCTGATTGCTGTTTTTTTTCTGTCAGCTCGGACAGTACAACTTGCAACAGGCAATAACTATACATTCTTTCTGTTTTTGTTGGAGTGCGTTAATATATTCCAGTAAATGCCATTAGCTAGAAGATGCCGCTTCACAAACTTATAAAAAATTTGCATTTGTTACAATGTGAACTGTTGTTGGTTTGTAGTTCGCGATAAGAAGACATTCATTTAACACACACCGCAGCTTCTTTACGGCGTTATTTTTGATGTAACAGTTCAGCAGAAGTGACATGTGTTTGCGCACCGAGCCATCATATGGCGACGGTATGTGGGGTTACGACAGTAAGATTTGAAATCATCGCAGTCATTAGCATTATCTTGACAATGACAGTGAGACCAGGTCTTCGCACATTTCTTCCAACCTTCTTTTGTAAGGCATGACGATTCCGCAAGACAGTACGGATCCTCATCGTAGCAGCACTCGCCAGAACCACAACTAGCACGGCACATGGACTGCATTTGCGCTGCGGTCCGGTTTTTATTAACGCAGAAATCTCTCACAACATAATAAAAGCATCTCGGATGGTCATCCACACACTTGCCTGAAATGATATCGCTAAATTGAGCAAAATCATATCATGGCGACAGTAGCTGCTGCTACTGCTACTGCTACTGCTACTGCTACTGCTACTGCCACTGCCACTGCTACTGCTACTGCTACTGCTACTGCTACTGCTACTGCTGCTGCTGCTACTGCTGCTGCTGCTACTGCTGCTGCTGCTACTGCTGCTGCTACTGTTGCTGCTACTGCTGCTGCTGCTGCTGCTGCTGCTGCTGCTGCCGCTGCTGCTGCTGCTGCTGCTGCTGCT